TAATATTCGTGATCAGCGCATCGAATTACATCTATAGGCAACGTTTCAGCGAAAATTTTTTTTGAGTTTTTGGGGTAGGAATAGTTCAATAGTGCCGAAAATCCTGTATAAAATTTATTTTTCAATGTAGCCTCCCATAACTTCAATATAGTTATGTGCCCGCGAAGCTAACTTTTCAGTATTCTCTAAAAATATATTCCCTCATTGTCCCCGAAATGTGCGCTAATTGCCACCTTCAGCACTTAATAATCGAAAAACGCTTTCAAGGAAGATCGTTTTTTAAGCTGGGCAACAAGAAGTAATGGCTGATCATTTTCTCAATTTTCTTCATTGTCTCAACTTTCTTTCCATTTTCTACAATTTTTTTTCAAATCAGTAATCATTTTCTCAACATTGTCGCATCAGTCATTCTGGTTTTCTTCACCAAGGATAACTAGAATAGCATTGATGATAACTAAATGGAATTTTTCATTTTACCCTCATGGAGTATCATTACCTATAGAAATGATTCAAACTCTCTCGTCACTGCAAGATTACCCCGATACCGGGAATACCCTGAACGGCCCTCGTATGTTCAAATGAAGCAATGTGGAGCTGATGCCGTAAAAACTAATGAAATACGAAAAAGTGCTGCTCAATGAGATCATCTTTGAAAGGCATGCAGTATCACCTGGTTTTCTGTGAAAAAACTTTGCTCCTTGTCGAGAGGAGTACGCCTTACGAACTTTCCATAAGGCAAAGGGTAATCAGAGTCATTCCTGTATGTCATCGTCGCATTGAAATAGTCGACTGGCATCTGAACAGGAACCGACTCACTGGAACACTCTTCACAGTTTCGTGCAATTAAAGGCAGTTGGCACGATAAATCCTCCAAGACGAGCAGGACTAATACGCCTGGCAGGACGGAATTCCGCGACCCTGAGCAGGCGCTGCATAATGCCTTTTCCAGGGAAGGTGCCCTTATAAGGGCGCTATCAAGCCACAACTTTACGTCCCAAACGCCCCCTTGCCCGCCCGCCCACCAAATGGAAGACTGTTCCAGACGCTCTG